ACCCCACACCTGTGGCTTCCAGCCAAACAAAAGACAGACATAAGAGTTGAGGGGAGGTGTTGCATTGGGGTAAACTGTCAATGTCACCAAACAACGTGTGTGTGAACTGCTGTATGGAAAGTGAATTTGCTCTGTAAACTTTCATCCAAATCACAATTAAAAAAAAAAAAAAAAGACTTTATCAACAAAGTGATGGGACAGCCTACAGATTGGGAAAAAATTTTTAGGACCCATATATTCAGTGAGGATCTAATATCAAATATACATAAAACTTCTACAACTTAACCACAAAAGACAAACAACTCAATCAAAAAGTGGGCAAAGGGCTAAGGACTTGAAGAGATGCTTTACCAAAAAGAATATTCAAATGGCCAACAAGGATTCGAAAAGATGTTCAATGTCATTAGCCTTTAGAGATACAAAACAAAACCACCATGAGATACCACCTCCCTCTCATCAGAATGGTAATGATTAAAAAAAAAGGAGAAAGAAAACAAGTGTTAGCAAGGTTGTGGAAAAACTGGAATTGATACCTATTGCTAGTGGGAATGTAAAATGGTACAGCTACAATGGAAAACAGTTTGGCAGTTCCCCAAAAAATTGAACACTGAATTACTATATGACCCAGCAATCAAACTCCTACACATATACCCAGAAGTGAAAGCAGGAACACAAACAAAAACCTGCATGTCAGTGTTCACTGAAGCACTTTGCACAACAGCCAACATGTAAAAACAACCAATATGTCCATCAATAAATGAATGGATAAAATTAACATATATATACAATGGAAAATGGAAATGAAGTCTTGATGCATACCTCAACATATATGAATCTGGAAAACATTTAATTAACAAAAACCAAACTTACTGCCATTGAGTCGATTTGACTCATAGCGACCCCTCCTTGAGTTTCCGAGGCAGTATCTCTATGGCAATAGATTGCCCAATCTTCCTTCCGAGGAGTGGCTGGTGGGTTTGAACCGCCAGCCTTCTGGTTAGCAGTCAAATGCCTTAGGCACTATGCCTCCAGAGCTACCAGAAAACATTATGCTGAGTGAAATAAGACAGCCACAGATGGACAAATACCATATGATCTTCCTTACATGAAATAAGCAAATATATAGAAACAAAAGATTATCAGTTAACAGGGGTGGAGGGAGGGGGAAGGGGAGTTTTAGTTTAGGGGCCAATGAATTTGTTGTTAATGGTGTTGGAATGATTTAGAAAAGGATAGTGAGAATGGTTGCACAACTTGAAGAAGGTAATCAATGACACTGAATTGTCCATGTGGGAAATGTTTAATTGGTCAAAGTCTTGTGTATATTTTCACCACACACACACACACACACACACACAAAAAAACCTTATTGATAAAAACAAGTGGTAGGCCACATTTGGCCTGCCAGCCACAATCTGCTGACCCCTGCTATAGCTGCATCATGTCACTCCTCCACTCTACAGCCTTTCATAGCTCCCATCACACTCAGGGTAATGTGTCTGACTTCATCTCTTACTAATTCCTTCTTACTCATGCTGCTCCAGCAAGGTGCTCCCTCCTGGTCTTTGTCACTGCTATTCCTTTGAGTGGAACAGTGTTATCCTTACTCACATGGACCCATCCCTGACTCTCAGATTGAAACTAGGTACCCATCACTCTCTCTCTATTATTCTCCATAGCACTTAGCATCTTCTCACTATTATATATTCACGCCTTTACCGTCTGTCTCTTTCTTTAGTGTGTCCCCAGAACCTAGTACTATGCCTGGTGCAAGAAAGGTGCTCCACCTATATATGTGGAAGGGGTGCAGAAGAGCAGACACATGTAGTTTTGTGGAAAGAAGGCCTGAATGAGAAGGTCCCAGGGCCTGCTTGGACCCTTGGGCCAGTTGATCCTCACCTAGCTGGCCCAAGACCAGCTTCATTGTCGTGGTTCTCCTCGCCCTGTTGTTGCTCCTTGTTGTCTCCCAACAGCTGCTGTTCCTGGTCCTTGGTCTCCATGTGGGACATGTCCACCTGTAAGCACAGCCAGCACTTGTGGGGCCAAGACCTTCTCCAGACCCTTCAACCCCAGGCATTTCTGTGTCATCACGATGGGGACTCTAATCGGAGGCGGGCCAAGTTGGGGAAAACACCATCAGGATGTAGTAGTGGGGTGGGAGTATCCTTCAGCAGGGGCCCAGGACAGAGATGGGGAGACCTGGAGAGGCTGGGCTGAGGCGAGAGGTTGTGCGAAGGCTGCCGGAAGGCCTAGGCTCCTCCTAACTGATGCTGTCTCAAATCCTTCAAGGAAGGAGACGAGAGGTAAAGAAAACAATAATAAAAGAAATGGGTGTGGTGCATGGGTGTCTGGGCCTCTCTCTACCCTGCTTCTACCACGCGCCATGCGTGGAAGCTTGTTAGTCAGACTGAAGCTGTCAGCACGTCAGTCACACAGTAAGTCAGTCAGGACCCAATTGGTCAGTGAGGAAATAGGGGCTGGGCGGGGCAAAACCCGGTCTCGTTAATAGGAGACAACCAGCGGGGCTCCAGCTGGCCAGAAATGCCAGCGGACGCGGCCGTTCCCCTCCTGACCGCAACGCCCACGAGAAACAATCGCCACGTACTTTCTGTCGCTCCATCTCGTCTTTTCCCGCCTTCACACTCGCGCCCCTGTGCGCACGCGCTGGCCACGCCCCCTCAGCACGCACCACCACCTCGCGCATGTGGCAAGGAGCGCGCATTCCGGCCCCGCCCCTTTCTGAGAATTTGCGTGAGCGGCGGGGCGGAGTCCGCCGTTAGGAGGCGGTTGGGGTATCTGGAGGCTGCCCGCCCAAGCTGCGCCGGTGTCACCTAGTGGGCCGAAGGTGCTCTCTGCGCGCGTGTGTAGGCATGTGTGATGGCTCCAGGGCCCAATACGTTGATCCATGGGTTGCAGGAGTCCTGTGGGCTTGTTTTCATTCTTTATGTCTCAGCTTAGCTGCTGTGCTCCTGGGAGACTTCTCAATGAAAAATAATCAAAAAGAACATTTCAAGATCTATCCTTAAGTTCAGTGCTGTCAGTGATAGGATAATCCTCATGCCTTGCCATCCCGATTATGGCCATGGCTTCCTTTTGCCCTAAGTATGCACTTACCACCTTGATTTAGAATTACCTGTGCATCCCAAAACTAGAAGCTTCTTAAAACCATGCTGAAGTCTGACCCTTAAAGGGTTGGGTCCGTATCTTCTAATAGTAATAAAAATAAATAATAAAAACTTAATGCTGTCAAGTTGAATCCAACTCAGAGCAACCCCTCCTTGGGTTTCCGGTGCATTATCTCTATGGCAGATTGCCCAGTCTTCCTTCTGAGTAGCCAGTGGGTTTGAACCCCCAGGCTTCTGATTAGCAGTCAAGTGTCTTAGGCACTGTGCAGGAATAATAGTAACAATACTAATGATTCTGTTTAACACAGCAAGAGCCGCAGGCTGGGTGGAAATATTTGTTAAATAACTTATATACAGAATTTTCCACCACAGGTCTGTACCATGGTGGCTTTCTGTATTCCTGTGATGCTGAAAGCTATGCCACTGGTATTTCAAATACCAGCAGGGTTACCCAAGGTGGACAGGTTTCAGCAGAGCTAAGGCAGACTAGAAGGACATGGCCATATCCACTTCTGAAAAAAAACTGGCCACTGAAAACCTTATGAATAGCAGGGAAACACAGATACAGTGCTGAAAGATGAAACCCTCAGGTTGGAAGGCACTGAGTATCACGGGGAAGAGCTGCCTCCTCAGAGTAGACCTTAATGACACAGATAGAGTAAAGCTTCCCAGACCTTCATTGCTGATATGATTCAAAATGGGAAGAAACAACTGCAAACATCCATTAATAATTGGTACGTGGAATGTACAGTGTTTATCTAGGGAAATTGGAAGGTGTCAAAAATGAAATGGAACACATCAAGATCGATATCCTAAGCACTAGTGAGCTGAAATGGACTGGTACTGGTCATTTCGAATTGGACAGCCATATGGTCCACTACGCCAGCAATGACAAAGTGGGGGTAATGACATTCATCAAAAAGAACATTTCAAGATCTATCCTTAAGTCCAGTGCTGTCAGTGATAGGATAATATCCATCTGCCTTGAAGGACGGTCAGTTGATATGACTATTATTCAAGTTTATGCACCAACTACTAAAACCAAAGGTGAAGAAATTGAAAATATTTACCAACTTCTGCAGTCTGAAATTGACCAAGATATATTGATAATTACTGGTGGTTGGAATGCAAAAGTGGGAAACAAAGAAGCATTGGTAATTGGAAAATACAGGCTTGGTGATAGAAATGACAGCAGAGATCCAACTTATTCATGGCAAATACTTTTTTTTTTTTTTAA